ATAGGCTATATCTGCACTTCTGCTGTGATGGCAGGACTTTCCAGCACCATATCTTCTGTTCACCTTAGCCTCAGAACTGTGGGGTCTTCATCACCATGATATTAGTTCTCTTGGATAGTTATCTTGGAAGCAGTTGACTATCTTAGCACACATCTAATTGAGCTAAGGACAGTGCATCCAAGAGCTAAGACCTCTTTAGGGACAGAAAGGAAGAAGAACAAGCACCTCAGAACACATTTATAACTCTGTTGTGTTCCATTCTGAAGGTTATCTCAAAGTCTGTTTGAAGAACATGCTATAAGAATTTGCCAGACATTTCCAGGACTTGCCTTCATATCCTGGATCCCCCCCCCCCCAGCATATTATGTTACTTAGGAACATCTCCTGTGTAATCACACATAAAGATCATGTCTCGGATTACTAATATTTACAGAAAGGAAAATGTCACCCGATTTTTGCTTCACTATTGGCAGAGCCCAAGATCAGTGTCTGGAGGTGGTTCCAAGTTTTGATGCAAAGAGAAGAATTGCCCTAGCCATGCAATGCATAAACATTGTTAAGGACATTCTAATTTACCATTGTCTCAGAATAACAGATCAAAAGAACAATTGGGGAAACTGAGAGTTCCAAATGTAAGGATGTTTGACTATATAGCAGCAGAACTCTACTATGTTATACCAAAATTAGCTTTGGGAGGAAGGTTTGAAGAAGCAAGGGACCATAATTTAAATATAAGCCTGTGAAAGCCTTGCAGTCATTTGATTTCCTAGCACTCATTCATTTTCAGTCTTAATAAATGATCTATTAAAATGCAGTTCTAGAAGCAACCCTTGTGATTTTCTGTTTTCATTAGAGTAGCATTTATAAAATTGTTGCTAAAAAGCATTCATTTTCAGCATACCAATGAGTTTGTCGTACAAACATGCATGAGAGAATGGAGGACCAGAATTTCCTTTTAATTATACTGAATATGGCTAGTGTCTTCTCTGATATTTGGTAGTGAGTTCTTATATAGCAGATGTCTGTGACAGAAGGTAAGCTGCCATAAGGCAGATATCAACTTGATATGGTCACCTCATACAGGACAGGACGGAACTCTAGTGTTTAATAGACCCACCTCTTGTAGATCTGTTAGGAAGTTTGTCATTTTAGCCTATTTAAAATGTCCAGAATGCTGTTAAAACTTCTAGACCACCAGGTATGCCTTCATTTCTATCCTTGCCATTTTGCTCTTTCTTGCCAGTTTTCTATTTTTAAAGAAAAATTACATCTGTTTTTCCACGCGAGTGCCTTGATAACTTTTTCTAAATATTATAAATTGTATTCATTTAAGAAGAAGAAGAAGAAGAGAAGAGATTGGATTTATACCCCGCCCTTCACTTGGAGTCTCAGAGCGGCTTACAAACTCCTTTCCCTTCCCCTCCCCACAACAGGCACCCTATGAGGTGGGTGGGGCTGAGAGAACTCTGACACAAACTGCTCTTTTTCAAGGACAGCTGTGCCAGAGCTTGTGACTGACCCAAGGTCACATCAGCAGGTGCAAGTGGAGGAGTGGGGAATCAAACCCGGTTCTCCCAGATTAGAGTCCGCACACTTAACCACTACACCATGATATTAGTTCTCTTGGATAGTTATCTTGGAAGCAGTTGACTATCTTAGCACACATCTAATTGAGCTAAGGACAGTGCATCCAAGAGCTAAGACCTCTTTAGGGACAGAAAGGAAGAAGAACAAGCACCTCAGAACACATTTATAACTCTGTTGTGTTCCATTCTGAAGGTTATCTCAAAGTCTGTTTGAAGAACATGCTATAAGAATTTGCCAGACATTTCCAGGACTTACACATTCAGTTTATATTTAACAAATGAAATTGCTGGGGACAAAAAAATGCAGCTGTCTTGTGATATGTTCATGTGCACCTTCAATTTCCAAAATATAACTTGTTTCAGGAGCTCTTTACATAGTACTACCTGTTATGCCCTTTCTGAGGTCCTCTGTGCACAAAGGCTACTCACATCTGATTAAGTAGAAAGTAGAAGGGGACATCTTTGTACATGCGTTCTTCTGCATGCACAAAACTGCTTAGTTATGGAAATGAAAGGGAAAACCTATGCATGTGATAGATGCAGGTGCACACTGGTATGCACTTTGGATCAAAGCCAGAATGGAGATTTTAAATGAACATTTTGCAAAATCTTGACTGAAACCCCATTTATTGAGAACATAGTCTTGATATGGATGCTGTGATCAGGTGGCTAAAGGAAAACAAGCTAAAACTTAATCCAGACAGGATGGAATGATGCTAGTTGGTACCCTGTTTCCCTGAAAATAAGACCTACCCAAAAAATAAGCCCTAGCAGGATTTCTATGCATTTGTGGTATAAGCCCTAGTGTGTCTTCTTGAGAAAAAACAAATATAAGACAGTGTCTTATTTTCGGGGAAACACGGTAGTTGATGGAAGGGACTGTTTGTCAAATACAGACAGGCCTTCTTTTGTGTTGGCAGACTCTGTCAAGAACCTGGGAGTATTCTTGCACTCTGATGAATGGGAAAGCAGGTTGCTAGAAGTAGTTTTCTTTTTAAATTGTCCCCTCCTGGATTCAGCCAATCTAGTTATGCTGATCCATTTTACTGTAGCCTGGAGAGTAGTTCATTGCAATGTGCTCTACATGGGGCTGCCCATGAAGCCAGCTTGGAAACTCTGCTAGGTAAATACCCATTTGCTAACTGGATCTAGTAATCTTATACTGTAATCCTAAAAAGAGTTATAGCTTTCAATGTCTGTTGAAGTCAGTGGGCTTAGAATGTTATGACTCTGCTAGGATAGCACTGTAAGTCGTATTACACTGATATTAGATCAAATTCCTGTATAAGCCCATGCAGCTTCGCTCTTTTCAGTGTGGCAGAAAAACCGTGATAGATCAATTTGGATTTGGAATCTGGAGAAAGAGAATCTTTATCAAAGCTAACAGCTGTTAGGAGCCGAGCACTGTCACTCAAAGAACATTAGCGAGGGCTCCTGAAAACAGTGACATTTCATTTTATACCCTAGTACAAACAACAGATACTTCCTCTTTTTGGTTACACTATGTGACACTTAGAGCATCACGGTTTTGCAGAGGTTAGTAAAATGGCACTTCTTTGTTTCAGCAAGATAACACAGCTTTACAGCTAGCAACCTTTGTGTGACCTCCTTTGTGATTTCACAGGAACTATGCATTTTGCTTTATAACACTGGAACATCTCTTTCTGTCTACTTACAAATTATTCCTCCTTGACTAAAATGTTCAAACAGCCTCACCAAAGTTTTAACCAGGTCTACACCTGTGACCTAGCCAGTCCATTTTATTTCCACACCAGCCACATCTACTTTCTGTCTCTTCTTTGAGGGGACACGAGTTGTCATAGCCCATGCACTTGGACTCCTTCTGTGACAGCTCCAGTTCTTTGGAATGGACTGTGCTGTGTGGCAAACCAGCAGCATCATTGCTTTCCTGGGAGAATATATGTTGTGTATGTAATGGAATGGAATGAAATGAATGTACTGACCTTGAAATCTGAAAGGTATTGTAAACCGACCTATCAGAACAAAAGGAGTTCTGGAGGGAAGAGAAATGATTGGTCTTTATGTACAGTTTCTGATTGGACCTTAACTGACATGTGGGCATGGCTTGCCAAGCCCGGACTGTTTAAAAAGGAGCCTGTTGCTCCATTGATTTGTCTCGTTCTGTCCTTCTGACTACGTGTTCAATAAAGCTGTTATCACTGTTCACCTGCTGCCTGAGTCTCGTATCTAACAATATGTAAAACAGAATTATTTTGTAGGCTCTTTCTGTGATTTTATTTTGTCTCTGATGCTCGTTTTTTAGGATTCCTTTTTAGGACTATATTGTGTCATTGTCTAGAAATCACTTTGTGCTATAAGAGAAAAGCAGTATACAAATGCCCCAAGCAAAAAATAAAAAATAAAAAAATGAATGATCCTGAGTAAAATGGATAATCATCATCATCGGCAAATGGAGAGGCTACGTGGAGCCATTTGGCAGAGCCTCATTGCAAAGGCCTTAAACAGGACCCTGTGAGCAAAACATGCCTGGAACTCTATTTCACCTTTGTGTGTGTGTATATAAAATGTGCTGAAGGTAAATATTTCCAAAGGCTGCACACAAGGCTGGATTTAGACATGGTGAGACTCTGAACTATGTCTGTAAGCTCCATAGCGTTGCCAGAAATGGTTATACAGTAATTTGATACTTTTTAAATATTTTAAGATCCTTCATAATTGTAGGCCCTAAATTGTAGCTTATTTAGCTTGTTCATAAATTCATCTCTGGCTGCCCGACAACATAGAGACTTGGTAAACCATCTTTCAGTGACCTCAGCAACAAGTACAGACTGAAAACATTATAGGTTTTTGATGACATGCAGAAAAACACATGAAGCTCCCTTATACTGAATCAGACCACTATTCTATCAAGGTCAGTCTTGTCTACTCTGAACAGTGGCTCCCCAGGGTGTCACATTGCCTGCTAGCTAGGCCTTTTAACTGGAGATACCAGATATTAAACCTTGGACCTTCTGCATACAATGCAGATCCACATCCCTTCTCCAAGCTGGTTACTGAACACTAAGTGCAGAGCTTGTGCTTTACCAGCTTTCATTGAATAGCAACAGTTATTCCCAATCCCAAGTATTTTAAGGGAATACCAAATCTTAGTAGCAGTTCATAGAGAATATTTACATTCAGAGATTATGCACAAACTTCTTCTTTCCAGAAAAAAATATTTCAAAGGCATTTTTAAAAAGTGTAATACAAACTTCTCTTTTTATTGTGGTAAAATTTCCCCATAAATGTGTTTTCTCAGAAACACTGCTAAATTTCAGTATCAGTGGTATAATGGGGAACTACTTAAAACATAACTATGAGGAGCCTAACATATTCCATTCAGCATCTTAAGTGTGCATGTATAATACAACTTTATTTCTTTACGCCTTTTAGGTCTAACTGTGCTGAAAATATCCGGAAGCATATCCTACACACAGGCAAACATGAAGGGGTGAAGATGTATAACTGCCCCAAGTGTGAATATGGTACCAATATCCCAGTGGAATTCCGCAATCACCTGAAAGAGCTGCATCCCGATATTGAAAACCCTGACCTAGCTTACCTGCATGCTGGTAAGAATGTTTGCTGTTGTAAGATGCTTCATCTTTCCAAAACAGAGGTGCTTAAAAATGGTTGTTGTAAGAAAACACTTTTTAGCATAGCATGCTTGAATCTGGCCAAGAAAGAGGAAAATTTTGATATGGATTCCAGTCTACTTTAGTGTTCCGTTAGTAACATGTTAAACAGAGGCAGTCCATTGGCAGCCTGGATGGCCTAGTTTAGCCTGAGGTTGTCAGAGCTTGGAAACTAAGTATGGCTGGGAAGTCTGGGTTGCTACATGAAGGAAGACAATGACAAACTTGCCTGGAACACCCTCTGGATGGGGTTGCCATTAATTGGTAGCAACTTGCCAGCACATTCTTCTTACATTATATAAACTGAATTATATATGGTAATTTTAATTTTAGAGGCTTGGGTATTGTTGAAGAAAGGGTATTCACATTTTGTTAGTGTGTGTGTAATAAATGTACTCACATTAATTGCACATGTATGCAAGTCTCAGTTTGAGGCACAATTTGCCTCCAGTACCTGTTCCCAGAGCTAGGTGTAAGCTTTGTAGCATAGTACATAACAGTGAGAGAGAGAGAGAACACACATCTGGGCATTTGAAGGATCCCTCCTCTCATTCTCATGGGATGATCACTGATCAGTAGTCCCGGTGCAGCTAGAATTAAGGGTCAGAATTTCCAGTTTATAGAATGTGGCTTGCTGGCAGACTGCTCTACATAAAAGATGTTATCTGTGCTTTTGTATACAGAGAACAGCCATAACTATCATAGAAAGTGCTTAGCCTACAATAACTAACATTCTTCTAAATAATTTGTATTTCATCACACAAGTCATCCAACATTTTTTAAAAAATATTTAATAGGACTCTGTCCTACAGCATATATTTTCCCCAAATAGTTTCCCATCTAATTGTATAGTAAAATTTGTCTACAAAATGCATAATGCTACAGACATTATGGTGACATTCCAGCTGTGTTATTGACATTTGGAATATAAAATTTGAGGGAAGGTAGTTCAGTTAATTATCAATTACTAAGTGAGGCCTCTATCCTTTCTGTTTTACTTTGGCACCCATATCTTTGTTTCAACTCTGTGTAACTAATTGTTTCCAGAAAACTCTGATAAATTTTAGGAAAACATTTTTACTAACTTGACTCTTTTAAGGTTGCAACTCATTTTTGCCCCACATAAATTTCTTTTCCAGTATCCACAACCTGCATGAATCAAGGCTGTAAAGGCAAACATATCCATATGATTACATCATCAAAATGGGGCAAACTGTGATCCTATCAGTTGTTAACAGTTGCAATATTCATGAACAGAATCCTGAAAGTTCAAGTAGTTAAACCCAAATAAACCTGTGATCTTTATCCTTCTTGACAGATACATTCATCAAATTATTAATGGTGGTGGGAAATGATTGCTAAAAGTTATAGTGTGATCTATTATGTGATCTTTATCAAAGTATGACTGTGTTACCAAGTGGAAGCTGTATTCTTTGAATGTCAAGTGAAGACACAAAATTTCATAACCTAAACCATTTCTATTTAGCTCTTTCAGAACTTTGCTTATTTAAGAAATAATCAGTTTCCCTGGCCTTATTTCCTGTCATACATCCATTGGTTTTATCACTAAAAATTGTCCATAGTTGCATTGAAGACTGAGGTAGAATTGTGCCCGATGCGAATAAGAGACTGAGAAATATGTAGATTTTCACTGATCAGATTAATTTCATCTTTTTCAAGTTCTCTGTATCTGGAGAATGTAAAATCATATTTTGCTTATTAATGGACCAGATAGAACTTTCCATTAGCTAAATGGCATGATATATTTTATAAACTTGCTGAAAGCTGCTAAAGAATAGGCATAAGATCGCATTCTTGCTCAAATTTCAGTTTGCTGCAATTGAAATTTCGCTGTCAGTTCTCTATTCTTATGCTGAACTCCGCACATTTGTACACTTAATTAATTAAATTTTTAAAGAAGTCCTAAAAAAAAAAAGTTAAAAGCTTATAATTGTTAGAACAAATACTGAAAAAGGCTACTGGCTAGTACAGGAGCCCAATATACCTTGGGTACCAAGCAAGGTAAAATAGTTGTGGGGTTTTTTGTTTGTTTGTTTTTGACAACTGGTGTACTTTATAAAGAAAAAGGTAAGCAGCAGATCTGCTTCAAACAGGTTCACTCTAGTAATAGCTATTAGTGTCAGTCTTTCAATTGCTTGTCATATTGATTGGCAGAGAATCCTTTTCCTCTCTGGTGCAGAATAGTAATTTTAGCATGTGCTTGAAATGAAAACTTTACATAATTTTTCCCCCCTGTTTCTAAAGAAGGATGCTAGGTTTCATGGCACCGATACTGATGTATTTCACAGAAACTTTAAACTTTGCATAGCTCATTGTTTTCAGCTGCACATAAGTTTGTACATGTTACCTGTTCTGCCCATAAGCTTGTATGATTGTTACCTGTTCTGCAAGGTCCACGACCACCCAGCAATAACCTCCCTCAGGGAACTGTCAACCCTGGAGATGGAAAATATGGAAGAATGGTGGAAAGTACCCAATGTAATTTTTTGCATGGCTATATTGTCATTTGTGTTAAGTAACAGCACTGAAAAGAGCCTCTGTCCTAGCTGATAACATTATCCAGATGAGCCTGCCTTTTCACAGAGGTGCTGCAGAGTGGGATATGAAGGGGGCTGAAAATAGCAGGCTAGTAATTGCAGCTTGGATATTCAGTCTTGCATGTGTGTTTGGTATGTCATGGAAAGTTTGGTCAAAAATACCAATATCACCTATCATTACAATGGAGATTTCCATATAATAGTGATAATATAATATAATATATAATTATCATATAATAATGATAGATATGTGACCTTGTTGAACTCCACATAGAGACGGACTTCCGGTCTTTGGCGCTTTGAACGATGGCGGCGTCTCTGGGTTCCTCCGAGAGATGTGTGCCATGAATCAGGGATTAGGAGGGAGTGTGATGGTGCACGCTCCCCCAAGAAGCCCATAAGCAGTGGGCTTCTAGCCAGGGGGCTTTGGAGAGCCCTACCTCTGGCCGGTAGCCGGTACAGGGGGGCTACTCTCTGCCCTGAAGGTCCT